AGCTTCCCGCTGATGGGTGGGAGAGTTTGTCCCTCTGTGGGCTCGAGCCCAGAGCCCGGGGCTAAAAGGCTGCGCGCTTGCCTCTTTGCTTGGGTGAGGCAGGGCTCCCTCCCGGCTCCCTCTGTGCAGCCTGGGAGCTCTGCTGGCGGAGCAGGTCCTGCCTCCTCTTCCCCTTCCCTGCCAGCGGGCTGTGATGCTCGCGCCTGTTTCTTTCACCCAAGGGAAGCTGCTTCCAGGTCTCCTCTGCAGCCCCCCCGAGTTGGGAAGTGGCTCGGTATGAACTGGAGACCTTTCAGTAGCCCTCGCTCCTGCAGTTCTGGGGTCTTGCCGCGAGCTCGCCTGCAGCACCGAGAGCAAACTGCTTTGGCGGCACCTGTTCATCCTTCTGCTGGAAGCCCCCTTGGAGCCTTTGCCTGGCTGGCGTCCTGCTTTAGGTTCTATGTTAAATGGCTGTTTGTTTGTTAAATGGCTTTTTGCCCCTGTTCCCGCCCAGTCCTCTCTTCCTGGACACTTCAGGGATCTGGTGGCAGGACCCGCCGTCCCTGGCAGCGGTGGAGGCGTCCTGGGACGTGACAGAGATGGCAGCTCTGCGGAAGGCTGCAGACGACAGCTCGGACCTGAGCCACCTGGAGAGGGACAGGGCGGAGGAGCTGGCTGTGCCGGACCCAGTGAGTGCCTGGCTGAGCGTGGAATCAATTTTCCCTGTTTCTCTAAGGAAATGGGAAACTTTCTACACCTCTCTTCAAGCGCTTCCAAAAATTAAGAATAAGAATAATCTTGGGGCCGCGATGTTAAAATCCCTGAGCTGGGAAGCTGGAAATTGAATTGTCACTCTCCTGCTGCTTAGCTTTCACTGCTGAGATGTCTGCCTGGCTGAGCGAGAGTAAATGGCTCCTGTTCGTCACCAGCTTAAATCTCCGGTTCCCTCCGGCAGCTCTGGTGCTGCTGGGGCCTCTCTGCTGCAGCACACGCTGCTTCGCAGGCAAGCACGGGAAAGGAAACGTTTCCTTGTTCTTCCCCCCCCAGCGGAGGCTGGAGCTGAACTCCCCTTTTGTGGGACAGGCTGTTGTCCCCAGCAGCCAGCCCACCCTTGTCCCCGGCCTGGGAAGGCACTGCTGGTGGAGGTGCGTGCCGTGCAGCACTGCAACGGCCCAGCCCAGGGTGGGGAGCGGGGTTGGGGTGTCCCTGCGCCGTGTGCTGCTCACGCGAGCCTTGGTTTGGGTTTCAGGAGCTGGAGGCCATCAAAGCCCGAGTGCGAGAGATGGAGAAAGAGGATGAGAGGCTGAAGGAGTTGCAGCTGGAAGCTGAGAGCCGCCTCATCGTGAGCTCGGAGGCAGGTACGGGCTGTCCCTGGGTGCTGCTGTCCCCGCCCCGGGGACACCTCTGGGGCACAGGGCGGCGATCGGAGCCAGAGCACGTGGCTCTGCCTCTCCTGGCAGCCTGGGGCTGGACACGTAAGGTGGGTGAGGGATGGAGTCCCAGGGATGGCATGGTGCTAACACAGGTTATAGCCACTCTTACCTCCTACCTTTGCAGGCCAAGACACAGCAAATTAAATTAATTACATTTAGTTCAATTAAGTAATTGAGTTTACCACCAACAGCCCCAGCAGAGCGATCACCCTGGGGGGGGAGTGTGGGGTGTGAAGAGAGAGGGGGCAAGGGGATGGAGGAGGCAGCAGTGTGGGGATTAGGGTATGCCTGGATGTGCCCGGGGACCTG